TTTAATTCAAATGTCGACAATATTAGTTGTGATGATGGGCTGGACTTGACTTGCCAAGAAAAACTATATAAAGTATATAACATTGTTTCCTCTGCCAATGATTCTATGCGTAATAGAATAAGAAAATCTAAATTATATTCCCAAATTCCAAGATAGGTGGTTGTTTAAACTCTGATAATCTAATGAATGAGCTAGCAATGGCTCATGCCAAATGGGAATTAAATGCCAAAAGAATGGGGTGAATTTAGTTTTTCTACTTTTTAATGAAGTTAATACATTCACTATATGTGTTCCTTTTACTAAAAAAGAAAATGACAGAAGGGTGGAACTGAAAATTCTATTGTTAATTCTGTTCTTTCTTTTAGCTACACTGCTAATTTGAAAAATGAAATGGATTATTTCTTTCACGGGGGATTTTCTTTCTTAATAAGAATCTATGTGTATAGTACTATGTAATAAAAAAAGAGCTCTAGGTAAAGCTCAATACTAATAATTTGTTCTTGCTTTTTACCTCTACTTACCTCCATAAATCTTCTGAGAGGTATAGAAAACAAAAGACATCATGAAAGAAAGATGATATTAATCAGCTCTCATGTATCTACCTACTTTATTAACTAATATTATTTCAGAAAGTCTGTAATTTAAGTAAGGCGACATATACTGCAGGAATAATGGAAGGGAGGAAGCAAATGAGAGGAAAAGAATGAGGAAGGCAGAAAAAAAAGGGAGAAAGATGTTGAAGAAAAATATTTGTGATGAAGGCCGGAGGAAAGAAAGGTGGGGGAATAGTTTGTGCTGTCATTTGATATGGTTTTAGGTATAGAGAAAACAATCTTCATATTATTTGTAAGCGTAAACACATTTCATATTCTGGTATCTGTGAGAGCATACAGAGTTCAAGAGTACTTATTATGATGTCCTCAAAGGTAAAAGACCCAGCAGATTATAGTTCAAAATCTTTATTTGCAGTGAAATATCCAATCGGTAAAAGATTTTTGTATAAACCAAATATTGTTTTGACATTGACCTATGTTCTAAAGCTATTATCTAGAACTTATACTTTGGTGAATGAATTGGTATCCTATTCTTGGTCTCCCTCCATATAGAAATTTAGGTGCAAAAATTCTATACAAATTTATTTAAGAGTTAACCCCAAGAATCATAGGAAGGACAGTAAGAAAGAGACAAAGAGAAGAAAAAAGACAGAAAAGGAGATAATATTAACCAACTTAGCTCTCCTGTTAACTATAACTAGTGCTGAATCTTGGTAGGACTCTGTAGGTAGCATGCATATCTTTTTCAAAGTCGCCCCACATAAGGGACAGAGGATATGTATATAACAACTGCCATTGGTCATTGTTTGACGATCATTGGAGGAGGAGAATAAGTGCTATTCCCTGACATCCTTGGTTTGTTATATTATATTAGAACACAGCAGTCTCTAAAGATTGAAGCTGAGCAGAGATGGAGTTGTTAGAAACTGTAAATAAGGTAGACTCTTCTCATATGGTAAAGCTGGTCTCAGAATATGACAATTGATTTTTGCCTTGCATTTCACCCTATGCCTATTTATCTTCCCTTTTATTACCAATCACTATCTTATCCCTTTTTAAGGATAAGTTCTTAAAAAGTCCTTTGTCCTTCCACCATACAAAGGACAAAGAAGCACTATAATATAGGTAGATAGATAGACACATATATATATGTATTCCTATGTGAGTGTGTCTGAGTGTGAGAGAGAGAATAACAAATCTAAAAGCAGACATTGGCTGCAAGACAATAATAGTGAGTGACTTAAAAACTCTACTTATATAAAACATAACCCTACTTAGAGATCAGTCAGACAGAAAAAGAACATAGAAATGATCATCTTAAATGAGAAATTGGACCAGAAGGGCCTACTAGACATTTATAAAGCAATATACAACAATAGTTAAGAACATTTTTGACTTATATGCTTACAATGGAACATTCTCCATCATAAAACACAAAGCAGTGTCAATGAATTTTGAAGATTAAAATTATATCAAGTATTTCCTCTGACCACAGTTTTATTAAACTAGAAATCAAACACCAAAAGGTAATAAAAACCTCTATACTGAACAAAAAAAAAATGCTGAATAATTTTTGAATAAATGAGGAAGTCAAAGCAGAAAAACTATAACTGAAGTCAAGTAATTCAAAATGTAGGACACAGCAAAAGTTAGTATGCACACACATATACAGAATATGGGTACACTCATATGAAAATCCATGTATGTGTCATGTTTATACATACACACACATACATGAAATAGAAGCACAAATGTTGGTGAAGGTATATAGAGAAAGGAAACATAGTACATTATTGGTGGGCATATAGACTGATCTATCCCCCTATGAAAATAATGTGGAAATTCCTCAAATATTAAAAATAAACATACTTTGTGACCCAGCAATTATACTCCTTGGTACCTATCTAATGTGTGAAAAAACACTAATAAATAAATATATGCATGGGTGTATGTACATGTGTGTGTACATACATATGTATGTATATGTTACACACACATATACACACATATACATATATACTGTTTCACCCTGTTTTTATTGTGGCACTATTTACAGCCTAACTCCTAACTGACCCACAGAAAGAGTGGATAAAGATACGGTTCATGTACACAATTAAATACCACTCAGCTGTCAAAAGAGATGAAATCTTGCCATTTTTTACAACATAGATGAACAGGAGGTCATTATGCTAAGTATAATAAGTCAGAAGGAGAAATATAAATACAGGATGAATTCATATTCAGAATTTAGAGAAACAAGACAAAGAAACTGACAGACATAAACCAAAACAAGCCCTAGAATATGAGTTGAATTGAGGCTACTAGAGGGGAAGAGTTGAGTGGCAATAAAGGTTTGAGGGAGAAAAGAAGAATATGAATGTTGGTCATACCTTTGTTTTTCTTGATATTAGTGTTAGTATAAGTACATTTCCTTTTCCATAAGGATACCATTTGAAGTTTTTAATGATTTGGCAACTGCAAAATACCACATCTTGAGTCAGAAGATCTGTAGGTTCTTGTCCTAGCGGTTCAGTCAACTAGCTTCGTATCCCACTGTAAGCCTCAGTTTATAAAATGATAAAATCACTTATACTGTTGAACTCCCAGGATACTATAAGAACTTAATGAAATAAAGTTGTTCTGTTAAGTACTGCTTTATTTTTTACCCTATTTCCTAGAATGTGAGTTTGTGCTTTTTTTTATTGCCATGTTCCCAGTGCCTATGATACTGTGCCTTATACCACCTACTTAATTCTACTTAATCATAAGATCTAACTTTTATTGGCAGTAAATCTGAGTCTTAGGTAAAGAAGCAAGAAAGAACTTTCTGATGAGATGAAACTATCCCATGTATTCATCAGTGTGGTAATTATTATTTAGATTTATAAATTTGGCAATTTATTGATTTTTACTATGAACTGTGTGAATTGCATTATTCATACATTATATCAATGAGAAACTGATCTGAAAGTAAAACTAGCTTTAATAAATAAGCAAACTGAAGATGAATTAGAATTATTCTGACAACTACCTATATCTATGTTTTAGTGTTTTTATGTGTCTGAGAGCCATATATTGTTGGATTAGTACCACCATATAGATTACTGTTCCATCTGTAACACAGATCTTTCTGACTTGTCAAGTGTATCGGACAGTGTTTTAAATTAATACTGCTAAGACACGAAGAGCAAAAAAGTTAAAAGCCTGAACTATGTTGATTTTTTAAATATACTTTGGCTACATTTGGAAGATTTTTTATATCACAAGTGTTTAATAGCAAAAGCATCATGATAATATCTCTGTTTATAAAAGTTTTAGTTCTGAAGACGCAAAGGTGTCTCCCATGCACATCTTCATTAGATTTTCCTTATCTGAGTGAAGTTAAAGTGTATTATCCCATTTTACAGAAGTAAAACTGGAGCACAGAAAGTTTTAGAAAATGTCAGATTTAATTTATGTGAAAATAAATGTTTTTCTATTCTGTGTATATATGTCAGCATTTTAGTAGTGAGAAAGCAAAGGAAGCTGTTCATAAACACCAAAGCTGAAAATATCAGCTATGCCATATCTTTATTTCATACTTTACAAATTGATACATAAAGTGACTTAACTAGATAATTACTAAATAATGCAAGGCTTCAGGGTAAACGATATTCGCATGGATGTGAATTAAGATTTCACAGTAGAATGCTCCTGCATTGTTATTTGCCAAAATATCTTAAACCTGTCTGTGCTGAAAGAAATATTTTCATTTTGTAATCACCTGCTGAATTTGAACAATGGGGAGGCTATTTGCTGACAATGTGCAGCAGCATTATGTGGTTTAAGGCAGTGATTGTGGATGCAGTGACCAGACGTAGAATGCAGCTCAGAAATTTACTAGCCAGACAATATTGGGCCATCTTGAAGAATTGTAAGTATTAAATAAATGTATAGGGAAAATACAAACATTTTCTGGCAGATAGTAGACATTCAAAAAAAATGGAAACTATTATTAGTAAACTGGCTCATCAAGCTATAAAAACTGAGTTTGATTCTAATAGAAATAGAAAACAGATTGCTCATTTAGAAGAGGTAGATTTTTTTCTCCAGATTACAGAAGTATTTTCCATGTGATTTATCAAATTAACTCAGGGAAATTTAGTAATGTTCCAAGTACTGACAGGAAGAAAGGGAATTAAGGGTGTGGAGCATGGCGCTAGTGATAGGTTAAGACTTCGTTTCATCCAGACTCAGAGATATATGGTAGCTCCATATATTACCCAAAATAATATTATTATTCAACTGAACAATAAAATACTAGATTTCTATTGAATTTTAAATAGTTTCTAGAATTTCCATGTGCAAAGTTGTAGATGCACTTACCAATTTTCTGTGATAGGTTTTCTCTTATTTTTGATTAATTGATTGGGAGAAGCTGAGATGTTTAATTTGTTTGTTCTCTAGGAAGATGACTAGATTCCCTGATGAGAGGTGCTGACTGTGGAATCTTCTAGACTATGGGGCAAAACTTTGAATGCTGATGTCTGGAAGTCCTGGTAAGTGGGATTGATGCTTCTATGACATGTTTGACATGCCTAAGAATCTGGAAACTTGTAAGACTGTACCTTTGTGTTAAGGTAAATAACCAACAGACCATCTTCACTTCAAAGAATAGTATGAACGTTTTGCCTTTCCTGGCATTTGACATTAAGTGTAGAAAAACAACAATCCCAAGAATTTTAGTGATCACAAACAGGCTCTCATGTATGCTGTGCAGACTGAGTTCATTCTACTTGAGTAAGCCAAACAACCTCTCAAGACAAGTGTACAGTTTAAAGTTGCTGCAATTTAATAACATTTCTAAATGAACTGCGAGAGAAAATGCAAATTATATTTGGATGAATTCACATTTGGCTCAGACATCAATGAATTACTACAGATAAAGTTCCAAGACATAAGAGCTTAATCTAAATGTACAAAAAGTTACAAGCAAATACACTAAATAGGCATGCCACCGATGAGAAATTATGTACAATCAAACTTATTAGTAACTACAGATATAAATTAAAATAAAAGTCCAATATAAGGTTGGCAAAGATTAAAAGTCTTATAAAGGTTGAGCAAAGATGTGGAACATGTAGGATTTTTAAAAGCTCATGGGTCAAACAAATGTGGAATACAGTTCATCTTAACATTGTAAAGTTGAACATATGCATACCTGATAACTCAGTAATTTCAGTCCTAGCTATAAGCCTATGGGAGTCTGTTATTTATGTGTTTGAGGACAACTGGATCAAATTACAAATGTATGAATGATAGCAACAGCATTGTTTATAGTGGCAAAAATGCTGGGAAATCCCAAATGCCCATCAACTGTAGAAGAGAGGGGAAATGTATATTCATAAAGCATAATAATATATAGCAAAGAGAGAATAAACTACAGCTGCACAAATCAACATGAATCTATCTTAGGGACATTATACTAAGAGACATAGCAAGTATAGTTACATAAAATTTAAAAGTAGGCAAAATAGGATATTACATTTGGGGGTATTAGTACAGTAGAGCTATAAAGTACAATGAGGGAATGATAAAAACTAAATTTGGTGTATGTGGTTTACCTTTGGAAGAGGGAAAGATAATAGCTATTAGCAACAGTGGACTTGCGAGGTCTTTAAAGTGATGTGTGTATTCTGTTACTACTGGGTAGTAGTTACATGCACTCACTAAATTGTAATTACTTTTTATAATTACCCTGACTGAATTTCAATATGTAATTAAAACTTATAAATTATAGATTAAAAACTCACCAAATAATATTATTCCCATACAAAGTATAAACACTTTATGTTTCCTTTATCTTTTTGAAATTAGCATAACTATATTGTTAATGATTTTTTCAAACATTCATACTTTTAAATTATTCTAAGAAATGCCATTCTTATCTAGAATAGTCTACTTTTGAACTTAGCTACTTCATGTTGAAGGATGCAAAGTTCTCATATATCTTACAAGGTACTGCTATGATACTTGCGTTAAGCAAAGTTGTTCCCAAAGACTATTAAGAGTGTTTATTTTAATTAAGTTGAAGGCCAACTGATTAAAGACATTGTAGACATTTTGCTAGTTGAAGAGACTGTTACTTCTTTTTTTTTTTTTAAGATTTATTTATTTATACATACAAGAACCGGGGTATAGACCAGAGGTGTGGGAGAGAGGATTTACCAGAGTCAGATCAGGAAATATAACAGGCAGACTGACTGAAATACACTGTGCAGGGGAGCAGCGGTTGAGAAAGGAGAAGTCTGCTGTGCCATGTGGTTCATCTCCTTGGCCAGGGATCCATTGAACTGGTGCTGAAGAGACTTCAGCTAGCTTCATAGTGCTGCACTTTAACACCTTGCACCACCAGGGAAGGCCCAGATATTGTCATTTCTTAACTGAACTTACAATGGCTAATTAAAAGTTTCCTTCAGTTTTAGAGTCATTCGTTAATCTGTATTTATGATCTTCCTTCATAATTATTTGGAATATGTATTTTAATAGTTATGAGTAACAAATGTATGTGCCGTATTAAGGTTACATGAAGAGGAAGAAGATGAAGAACACACACATACACTCAAATCCCTCTTTCTCAACTAGTTAGTATCTTTGAGTAGCAAATGAAGGGAATAACTGGAAAACTGGCTTCTGTCTAGTGTACCTCTGTCACAGCACACAGCAGAATTAAGCAGGATAAACTTGACAGCCTTTGATCTTTTTTGAGTACATGGCATGTCCTTTCCCTTTAAATGACAGTTACAATATATCTGATAAAATCTTTGCTAACAAATGCTTCCCAGGCAGTCAAAGAGATATTAGTCAGCAATGTGCAAGATTTCCAATATTAAAATGTAGCTTAGTTGGAAAAAAAGATACTTTGTGCTTTTTGATATTCCTCTCAAAGGTAATTATCTGCTGCTATCATGTTTGAGTTCCCAGAAGGCCTAGAACTGTACTATTTTATTAATGATGTTCTGTAAGAAGACATATATTGGATTGTGTTATTTCATTAAAAATAAAGTCCACATGGTTGCCAAAGAGAGGTAGATTTCCTTCATAAATCCTACAGTTATTCCTCTTTTCTCTGTGGGTTCATTTTCATTTGACTTCTTGGATTCTGTGGGTAAGACTTGCTGTGGTTATCTAGAAAGGTATGCTAATAAAATACATGCCTATATATTTTTCTATGAGTATATCCTGTACTTTATGGAAACACAATTCACAGAGGATTTAGTACATTTGAGACTTACAGGGCTTGATTATATTTTGAATATTTATCTTTTGTTCACTTCATTTCCTTCTGCTTCATAATTTTCCCTAAGCTACACGTAGCTTCTTCCGAGTCACAAAGCCTAATTTTATTTGCCTAGGCAGTGAAAAACAGCATCATGGAGCATAACAGTATTTGTATTTCTCCACATTTCTTAACTCAGTGTAGAGGCATGAAGATGCATACAGCATTCCTTCCCAGATCCAACTGTTAATTTTGAGTTCTCCTTATCAAATTAACTTCTACTTGAATTATACCTGTATAACTTTTCATATCTGTGAAAAAACTGAATCAGTCTAGGTAAGTCAGGTGAATTTTAAATCACTTCAGGTAGGTTAATTATGATCTAGCAGGAATAGCGAAGCAGATGAAGTAAATGGTATTAGCCTAGAGATTCTGAACACTTAGTTTAAGACAATGGAAGAAAGGCAATGGTTCATTTAAAAGTTGCCTTTATTTACTCATCTATTCTTGGGCACTTAGATTGCCTTTATAACTTTTCTATTATGAATAATACTACAATAAACATAGGAATGTATGTATTGTTTTTCATTCATGTTTTGCATTGTTCCAGTATTTAACCAAAAGAGGAATCATGGGACCATATATTAGATCTCCATACTGTTTTCAACAGGGGCTGGACAAGCCTACCTTCCCACCAAGGCTCCTTTTCTCTACATCCTCACCATCACATGCTGTTTCTGTTCTTGTTGATATGGGCCATTTCCACAGGTGTGAGGTGGTATCTTATTGTGGTTTTTGTTTGAAATTTCCTAATTATAAATGATGTTGAACATGGATTTCATATGTGTGTTAGCCATCTGTATATCCTCTTTAGTGAAATGTCTATTTACCTCTTTTGCCCATTTTTGATGAGTTGTTTTCTTGTGTGAATTCTTTGTAGATTTGTATATTAGCCCATTGTCAGGTATATAATATGTAAATATTTTCATTCATTTAGTAACATAACTTTTTTTTTTGGGGGGGGGTTTAAAGATAGTTTCTTTCTTGCAGAGTTTTTAACTTTGATATAGTCTCATTTGTATGTTTTGCATTTTCTCCTTGGCATTGTATTTGATTCTCCCCAAAATTCACAAAAACAAATATAGAAAGGGAACAGAAAAATACAACCAAAATCAAACTCTTGAAATTAGACTGCCGAACTGAAACTACCAAAAAGGAGGGAAGACAGTAGGAAGAGAGGGGGAATTTGAGTTCTAATGGATATAGTGGATTATAGGAGCTTTTTTGGTCAGTATGGTATAACATACATTTGTAGATTTATAAAAAATAACAGTGTTTCAAACCAATGTTACCTCAATATTTTTTAAATGACCCTAGAGCATGTTATTTCATGAAACCAAAAGAGGACAACCTTCAAGAACATGTAAATAGACTTCTTCTTCACTCAAGAACCCAACACCTAACTTGGTGCACCACATATAAGAATTTACTAGTATTTAGTGAATGAAAGAGAAATTAATAGGAAGAATTATACAGTGTCAAGGAAACAAGAATCAGACTAACTGTAGTATTGTAATATTCAGTAGAAAAAAGTATAGTGCTATTTTTTTAAGGATTTATTTATTTATGCATACAGAACTGGGGTACAGGCCAGAGGTGCAGTGGCAGTGAGAAGATTCACCAGAGACAGAAAGGGGAGCAAAACAGGCAGATCAATGAAGTACACTGCTGAGAGGAGCAGTGGGCGGGTCAGGAGAGGTCTGCCACGCCATGTGGATCACCTCAGGGGTTGGAGATCTAACTCATGCTGAAGTGCCTTTAGCTTCTTAGTGCTTAGCTTTAACCCGCTGAGCCACCAGGTAGGGCCCTGGGGTGCTATTTTTAAGGTATTTATAAGAACGCTTAGACCTGGTATTTAAATATGAAGACATGGGCCTCCCTGGTGGTGCAGGGGTTAAATTCTCAGTGCTATCAACATATTCCCACCTGCAGTGCTCTGAGTGTGCTCCCTGGCCAGGAAGCTGACCCACCCTGCCCAGTAGACCTCTCCTACCTTATCCTCTTCTCCCCTTAGCAGTATTATTTCAGTACATCTATTTGTTCTGTTGCCTACTTTTTGCTGGTGAATCCTCTTACCTCCCCCACCTTTCACCTCTGTCCTGGCTCTTGTATGCATAAATAAGTAAAATAAATCTTAAAAAAAAAATGAAGACATGGTATTTTTTATTATACAAAGCCTTTAAAGCTCTGTCAAAGACCTAGACTGAAAACAGTTTGCAT